ATCCAATCACCTCATAAATCCTTCTTAACAACAGTCCATACTACTAAATACTTGACTCCCTTAATATCTAAATCCCATTCATCGATAGTCTATTTTAAAACACCACAATCATTCATACGCTAAGATGCCACCTTGAGCAAGCTTTATCTCACTGGCTAATCTGTAATGGTGCTTCTACAGTAACCTAAGGAATCCTCCAAACACCGGCGGAAGCAACGAAGAGAAAACCAATGTGAACACAGCTTAACCAACGAATTGAGCTTCGCCAATCTCTGCAGTCACGAGACGAACAACGACAAGAAACCAGGTCTACTCTGCAAACCCCACAGTGCCTTTATTAAACCCAAACTGCTCAAACACCTCCAACCAGAAACAAAATCCCCTCTAAAACAAAAACATAATGAATACTTTAAGTGAACAAAAACCAGACACCCAAACTTCCCATCAGTTCCATGCAATAGGCAAATACCCAACTCCAAACCCGCAGTTCTATCCAACAAAACTAAACTTCTTTAATGGAACCCATAAAAGCAAACTTTCAAGCGTACAAAAGTCAAAATCGTTACTCCCATAAGACTAAAAAACACAAGTCACAACCGTCGCAACAATTAGTAGAAACAAAACACAACACCCAATCACGGGCGGCAAAAGAAAGTCCCGGGACAACAACCACGATGCTGCGTACCAACATAGAAAACCCCTTGTAGACGAAAAGAAAAACTCACCTCTATTCTCACTAGTAAATCGAAAAAAAAAAAAGAACGAAGCAGCAAACTAAAAAAACCAATGAGTGATAGAATACTGAGGAAGAACGCTGCGAAACTCTAAGCGAATTTGAGCTATCCACTTCATACTGTATAAACTCAAGCCTCAAAATTATAAAAACCAACTCAGATCATGAAAAATACGCACACCGAAACCCATCCGAAGAACAACAAACATAGTAGCCGCAGCATAGTTCAACGACTCCACATTTAAAAATTTTTGCTAAACAACGCAAATCACATACAAAACATTACTTGCAGTAAGCGAAAAAAACAAGAACAATGTCCAAAGATACTAAAAGACATAAAACAATCGAATAAAGAATGTAGGCCACAAGTTGCACAAGTTAATCAGTGTTACAAGAAGTTCAAGTGAGAAACTGTTCAACTTTTCATTGAGTGGTTCAAAAAAATTGAAAAAGATCTAAAAACAGTTCTTGTTATCCAAAAGTCCCTAGCCACATAAACGAAAATTATTAAACAGAAAAAGGAGGAATTAAAAGCATGCAAAAAGTACGAGATTACAAGACATCAATACACAAAAAATAAACAAGCCTCTCTGTCCTTGAAAACAAATAAAAAAACGCGACTGAGAAGCTTTTTGGCATACATAAAAAAAAAAACAAGATTCCAATCTGGTAACTTAAAAGATATAAAACACTGAATTCCATCAGAGTCTTTTCACCACCAAAAAAAGAAAAAATTACGAATTTTTTTAAATCAATTTAGACGCCTCAAAATTCAAACAAATAAAAAATAAAAACAATTATGAGAAAGTAGAGCGACAAATCAAGAGCAGATCAACAGTAAAAATCGAATTCTTTCACTGATTAAAAAAAATTCTACGATAACAGCATAGTAAATAACAATTCCGAGAATCCATCTCAAGAACAAGTTAACTAATCCAGTAATCAGTACAGAATGAGGTAAAACAATTGTGCAGTGAATGAACTCGCGATAAACAAAAAAAAAAAAAAAAAAAAAAAAAA